GCAAGTACATAGCATAGATGAGCAGACTACCCTTCAAAGGGAAGAAATATCACTTAATGAAGTCCTAGTCCTACGCCCACGGACTACAATTCAAGAGTTTACAGTTAAGTCGAAGAAAGTGTACCTACCACTCACCCTTTGTCTCCTCTAGCAAGTCTTGAGAGATTCTAAAACGTCTAAGTTACAGAGCCTTCATGCACAGACTCATGACATGATCACGTATTAGGAAAAGCCTCCTGGAAGTATTTATTTACAGGCTACGCCTTTGTTGACCCACATCATCCCGTTGGCTTGGAAGTGGAATCTGAATAAACAACACAGTTTGCCGCTACAGTTCCTGCCTAGACAACTGATCAGAGGTGACATGTAAAAAGAGACAGGCAGTGCTGACGTATCTCTCTCCAGAGGCCAAGGAAGGACTCCCATGTAAACCAGGCAGAAAGCTAAGGAGAGCAGTGTCAATTCAGAGGGGAATATACCAGGAGAGAACTGCACAACAAATAAAATTCCTGAATTTCTTAAGTTTTTGTGTCTGGCCAGGCATATATGGTGGTGTACACCTATAATTCCAGTATTCGGGAAGCTGAGCCAAGAGGATGGCTGTGAGTTTGAGATTATCCTGAGCTACAAAGTGAGTCCCTGCATCAAAAAGGTGGGGGAGGGATCTTTTGTCTGCTAGTAATGCCACATGTTTCGTATGTCATCTTATTGTGAGCCCTCTAAAATCCTAGATAGTATATTATTATATCATAGATGAAAAAAATTTCAGAGCCCATGGAAAAGAGAACTTGTCCAAGGATACGGAGCCAGGTTCAGAACCCAGGTCTCTCAGACACCAGTCCAGAGATGACCTGGATAGGTAAAGTTAAAAAAAAAAAAGTCAAGCCCATTCCAAAGAGAATGCCATCAGAGGTAGACAGCAATGAACAATGCTTGAACAATATCAGAATCTTAAATGAGGGGCTGGGGATTTAGCTCAGCGGCATAAGCACCTGCCTTGCAAGCAGGCGGTTGTGAGTTCGATCCCCGGTACCAATAAAAAAGGGGAAAAAAAAAAAAAAAAGATGTATAGAATCTTAAATGGCTACAATGACAGAAGGGGTATATGTTTTGAGGAAGTAAAGAGTTGTAAAGGTGAGCAGGTAAAAAGATCAGATACATTTTGAGTGAGAAACAACTAAAACAACAGGGATCCAAAGGCCTCCAGCAGCCACTGCTGAGTGATGGGATTCCAGGGGAACTGCCCTATATGTATTTCCTATGGTAACATATTCATAAAAGAAAACCATTATGTGATATGTTGTACTGTGTTTTGGGAGAAGTGGCTGGAAGGGTAGAGGTTCTACACTAATAAGAGGAAGGAAACAAGAGAACAAGCAGAGTGACAGAAGATAAGACGCCTTGCCTAAGCAGGCCTCCCACCCTGGGAAAGCTTACCATCCTTACCCCACTTCCTGAATACTTAGTCCAAAAGCTATTGGGCAGGGCCAGGCACCAAAGGGTGCCAGAGCACAAGCTAGGTAAGGAAGGAAGGGTAAGATGATAGCAATAGTGGTGACTGCAACTGGTGACTCATCAGGCACTACAGGAAATTAATCAGCTAAGTAAACATAATGCAATAATGAGAGCCTGGTCTTTTACAGTCAGGAAAAAAGAAAAGTCTACAAAAAAGGAAAAGGGAGAAAACTGGGCTGAATTCTCTGGTGTTACTATGAATTTAGAGAGATCAGATTAAACTCAGGATTTCAATATATTCAAAGATGAGTAGAAAAATAAATATAAAGGAAGAATGTGTGTGTCCTAGCACTTTACCAACATCAGGAAACAGTAGAAGTAATTACCCTGGACAGCAGTAATAAACATACCTAATGCCCAGACCTTCCTTTCTAACTACTGTTCTTCACTAACATGAACCAGAGCCCTGTGACAAAATTTGACTGCACAGCTGAAATAGAGAAATACAAGATGAACCGAGGCTATCTTATTGTATCTTAAGTAAAGAAGTGCTTGAAGAATGGGACATTTCAAAAGAGCTCAGAATCAAACTAAAGGGCTCCTGAGGACAAATTAGGGTAAATCCAAACACTGAAATAAGTAAGGAGGGTGACTGAGTATAACCAGTGCATAAAACAGAAATCAGCTGGAGTAGGGGAGGGGTGAGTATGTTGCTTGACATGTTTACTCTCAAATAACTCAACAAAATGTGTATTACTTGGTAGGAAGAAAGAAAAACTCAGAGACATCAGGCAGATGTCATCTTAATGGGCATCATCTCTGGTGGGCCAAGTAGAAACTGTGTACCTCCTAAAAGGATGCTCGAATGAAATGTGGCATCGCCTCTGGGGTTTTCCACCTGAGAAACAGCATGCAACCTATAATCTTCATGTCAGGGTCAAGAAAGCCAAGAAAATACTACAGAATACTTCCCAATCAGAAGATAAATTGGGCAAGAAAATGCAGTGTTGTATATTATTCCGTCATGCATCCATTTTATAAACTGACAAATCCCAAGCAGAACCTAAAGGCTAAGTGGTAGCAGCACATTAGCATTAATTTCCTGATCTGATCGTTGTACTGTGGTTTACTGAAGAATGTACTTGATTACAGGCAAATACGATAAAGTATTCAGAGGTAATAAAGCATTATTTGTCACTACTGTATTTAACCTCGACAAGTTCTGGTGGAAAAAACTCTCTTCTATTCATTTAAAAAAAAAAATGTGAAAGCCACTGTTCTTACCCAAGACAGTCCCACTCAACTCCTTAAACTGTCATGGTCTGGCTCTTAAATGCCCCCCACACCCCAGGCCACAGGTCAAAGGCTTGGTTGCTGGCCTGTGGTGTTACCAGGAGGTAGAAGTAGTTACAGGAGGAAGCCTAGCTGAAGGAGCCAGATCACTGGGAGCATTCCCTTGAGAGGGTATTAGGACCCTAGCCACCGCCTCTTTCTCTTTGCTTCCCAGATATCAGGGAGTTCCTGGCTTTTCCAGCACGCTCTAGTCCGTGATGTTCATAGCCTCTCCATGAGCCCAAAGCAGCAGGGCCAAGCAAGTCACAGGGTGAAAATAAAGTTGGAGCCCAGTACACCTTTTCCTCTTTTTAAACTGATTATTTCTGACATTTTGCCACCATGACAGAAATACGAGTAACACAGACTCCTCAGATGCATTTCGATCAGTTATCTTAAGACAACCAAGATAGTCTACTACACAAAACTCACAAAGTATGGCAACATGTAGTACTTGACAAATTTAAGACAAGAAAGAAAAGAGCACTCAGGATATAGCTCAGTGGCTTAAGTGTCTGCCTGGCAAGTACAAAGTTGTGAGTTCAATCCCCAGTACCAGGAAGGAAAAAAAAGAGAGAGTGAGCAGAAGTGTGTGAGCACATATGTGCATAAATGTAGAGTGAAAACCTTATCTCTAACAAGCCTCACTAAGACTGACTTTAATGCTCTTAAGATGCTGGGAGTCCAGGGGAAAGTGCCTAGAACCTCCCCTGCCTGTGGAATTCTTTAGTCTTAGCCTTACACTTGGGGATGACATATGCTGGCCCCCAGAGGAGGTCAGGAAGTAGAAGTAGTCACGACTACCTTTCCTGACCACATCCTGTGGATTCTGCTGAGAGCAGTTTTCCTCCAGGACAGTGGAGATTATCTATTGAAGAGAACAGCTCGAGGAATGATTCCAACAGAACAATCTAGAGCTTTCATCTCTGCAGCAAAACCAAAAACTAGTAGGCTACATCTTCTCTTGTAACAACTTAATTTTCAAGCCAAAGAATGCAGACTGAAAAAGATAGTAGAGAATGCTTACTTTTTACCTTTATAAAGTATCTATTCAGTATCTTTCCTTTTACTGGACAGCATGAACCTTTGAGATCATAACCACTATTTATAAAACAAACATTAAGATCCACACTTTATTTTCTAAGGTTAAAACTCATTTTATATGTAGGCACCTTTATTTTTAGGAGAATCAGGCTAGAGTAGAAGTTTAGTTCCATATTTTCATAGCTTTCTCTTAACACACACACACACACACACACACACACATACACACATATACACATGCACTAAACTAACACACAAATGACCTGTATCTAACAGCTAAATTACAAAGAAACTACAGGTCCAAAGATTCCTTTATGTTTTATGGCTCTTCATGTATACCTCATTCACTCTTTATGCTATAAGGAATGTGACTTACAATTTTAGAAACTTAGTACTAAATAAGCAATCTCTTCAACTACACAGAAGTTGAGAATTCCAGGTATTAAAATCTAAATGGGTAAGACAAAACCAGGCAGCTGACTGCACACAGCAACTTGCTTTTTTCCTAGATTCTCAAGAGTCTAGTCTGCATAAGTATCATGTCTCTGACATACTGCTCTCAATATGCGCCACTCTAACATGCCCGACTTTAGAACTTTGTGTAGTTTCACTCCTCACAAAGCATTTATACAACATTCCACTTAAATAGCTTCTATGTATTCTGTAAAATCATAGCTAAAAACAAAATCCACCAAGCCACACAATAGAAAAACCCACAGAATGTCTCTTTCGTTAAGTACAATGCCAGGAAAAAGTCTCTGTTTACAACAAATGTGCGTGCTTTCATTCCACAGACAATGAATACTATGTGATTCAATGCTACACAGAGAAGGCAATGGTTCCCTGGTAGGCTAACAGCCAGAAAACTGGAAATCAAATACAAAAGTTATAATTAGCTGCCCATAGGAGCCTGGTACCTTCTACTCCTTAGGCTCTTCTTGGCTGGTTTATTTCCTTTATTTTTAATTGTACCAGATTAAATGCTTTTAAAGGCAAGTATATATGTACATGTTTTCTCTCAATCCTGTATTTTCTAGTCAATGAGCAGAGAGACTAACTTAATAAAGACCAAGCAATGTACAGGACTAATTCCCCTCGCCAGTCCCCAGCCTGGCCACTGTGCAGCCCAGTGAGAAAGCACATTCATGCCGCCATGCCCGCCACATCACCTTTGCAGTAATCCGCAGGGTCCTCCTGTTCCTCATCATCTGATCCCAGGATCTCCTCCTCTGGCTCTGGGGGAGTGGGTTCTGGCAGTGGTGGTGGTGGAGGAGGTGGAGGAGGTGGAGGAGGAGGAACTAAAGGAGCTTTCTGTTGCGGCTCCGGCCTGAAACAGTGGAAAGAAAATTTCTATTTACTCAGAAGTAAGTCTTGAGTTATGGAAACATTTGAGAGTTATGTAATATGGGGAAAGCTAAAACTTATCACACAGTAACGTCAAGTAAGTATGTTTCAATACACAGATGAGGGCTATCCTTATGAATGAATTAAGGAATATTTTATAGGAGTATTTTCAAAGTTTCAGAATTTCTCAAGCCTTGAAATGCTATGAAATTTCAATAAAATGAACAGCTATCTTATGACATACATATTTGTTAGAAAACATCTCAGGTATTTTAAAAAGGTGCGAGCAGTCCTCAGCTTAAACAGAGGATTCAGGGATTCAGAGCTCAGTGGCATAGCATCTACCTGTCAAGCACAAGGTCCCGAGTTTGAATCTCAGTACCAAAAAAATTATAAAGAGGATGTTTTTCCCTTGTATGAAAATTGGAATTTATTTCCCATAGAAACAGTAAGTTGATTAATACATAATCTATCTAAATTATAGTTATTTTCATTTAATATTTCAGGTATCTATCAACCTTACTTATGAAGAACACTATCCAAAACTGGAACTTAAAGAAAAACCCACAAACAGCCAAGTAATATAGTCCATATACATTGTATAGTCCATATACTATACAAAGGTCATTTCTACTTATCCCATAAATGTGAAATGATATTTAGTATAATCTTTTACAAAGGACAGAAAAGACAAAAAAATTTTGAGGGCTCACACAGACAAACCTTGAAATACCAAGAATAACACACATTATAACTACATTTGTTTAGAAGTGAAACATTCACAATGGATTCTATAAAATGAAGTTTGTAATCACTATATAAATTTGCTGCAGGGGCTGGGAACATAGCTTAGTGTCTGCACATTTGCCAGGCATGCACGAGGTCCCAGGTGCAGTCTGCCAGCTCTGAAAAAGTTAAATGGTATTTCAAACCATGTCCCAAAAGGGAAAACATGGTCCTAATGTCTCAACTCTGATGCCAGAAGCACATGCGTCTCTTAAGCTGCTGTCCTAACAGGCATATCACTGCTGTCCTGAACTAGCCTTATGCTGTGGGTGAAAAGTGAATGGAAATAGGCAATTGTGGAGGAATAAAGGTGTTGGAGAGATGAGGGTGTCTACAAAAGCAGTGTCAGCAGGTAGAAATGGGGGGACCCTTGTGGGGAGCAAGTAGAACGTCAGTGGCATCAATGTGGTATCAAAGTGGCATTTTTTGCCTGCCCAGGGTACATTTTCTCTTTCTGAAAGTACCTGGCTTCCCCTGGGGCCACTGCCACTCCCTGTACAACGGAAAGCTGGTTCCAGATCCCTTCTCTCCTCACAGTAGCACGGTCTGGGCACACAACCAAAGCTTGCTCTTCAGCCCCAGAACTCTGAGGTGGTCAGCTTCATTAGGGGTGCAGCCATCCTCAGCTGCTATAAAGAATCAGGGCCGGGCTAAGGGTTTAGCTCAGCCACACAGCACCTGCCTGCCAAGCGCGAGGTCCTGAGTTCAATTCCCAGTATTTAAAAAAAAAAAAAAGGGAAATGGGAAGGTGAAAGGGAAGACGGGGAAGGGGAAGGAATCAGGAGCTGCTGAGACCACTGCCCCTAAGCCAGACCTCTATGTCCTTGCACAATCGGAGAGCCCTCAATACTCCTCTATGCAAAGTAATCATACTTGTATGTGTAGTTTGCCAACAAACCCCAAACTGTCACACCTGAAACAAGGAATGAGGGACAGGAACAAGCAGAAACATGGCAGTCATGAGGAAGGGTGGTGACTGCATGAGACAGATAAGCAGAAATGTAATGCAAGGATGGCTACCTTTGGCAGGAAAACCCTAAGTGCTTCTAAATCAGGAGTGATACATTGATTGATGCTTGCTAAAATTTATGAAGATGCAAAGTTAGGGCTCTCCAGGGAGCAGATATTACACATGTGGTCATGGTACCAGTCTGAGCAGCCAGCAGTCACACTCCAGAGAATGCCTATCACTTCTACAACACATCTCCAAATGCCAACAGGCCTCACTAAAGTGTAATGCGCTTTCTGCCAGCCTTGCCAACGCTCCTTTTCCTTGTAACAGACAAGCCATGGCTAAGAACAGCATGGTCACAGGCATAAGGGAATCCTGGAAGAGGAAGGGCGGGGGCCGGGGGACTGTAAATATTGCATATGGCGCCTAAGAGTGACAGATGACCTCCAAGAGCCAGCCACCACCCACTGTCCAAGGGAGTAGGGAGAATTTCATTTGTTGATGAGTTGGCTAAGTTAGAAATACTTCTGAAAGCCAGTTATTTCTACCTTACTTAGCAACTCTGTATAAAAAAACAAACAAAAAGGGGGTTGGGGGTTTAGCTCAGAGGCATAAGCACCTGCCTTGAAAGCAGGCAGTCGTGAGTTCAATCCCCGGTACCAATAAAAAGGAAAAAGACAAAACAAACAAACAAACAAACAACAAGAGTAGTTTCTATGATTTTAAAACACACTGTAGAAATGACTTGATGAAAAAAGGATCTTCTTCTAGTGCAGGACACTCCTTTGCTCAGTACATCTGGGCCAGATAATCCGTGGCTATGGGGACTACCAGTGCATCTCACATATCCCTCACCTGTAGTCAGTGCACATCAGCAGTGCACACAACCACTTCTAGTTGTAAACATCAAAGAATACATGCAGATACTGACTAATGTCTCTTGGCAGCAAAACCATTCCCACTGTCAACCACTGCACTAGCAGTATTTTCCATATACTGTACAGGTACACCTCATTTAATGGCCAAGTTAGTTTGCTGACTGAATTGTTTGCTAAATGAGGAATTGTATAATGTACAAACATTACAATACTCAGAACAAAAAAATGGTCAAACATGACAACTATTTTTATTTCCATAACCCTGATATGCAGTACTGCAGTATATAACAGAACATAAAACTATAATACTGCATTGTATAGTACAATCAGCAAAAATTACAGGACTATGTGAAACTGGACGCCTACCTCACACATACAGAAATAGTAATAGTAACCCAAAAGATTAAATGAAAGTGGTCTATAAACATAAATTTTAAAAACCCTTAAAGCTTTCAGGAGGAAAAAAAAAGGAGGATTTAATCTTCATGATCTTGGGTTAGCCAATGTTTCTTGGATACAACATCAAAAGCATAAGCAATAAAAGAGAACTTGATAAACTGGACTTCATCAAATTTTAAAACTTTTGTACTTCAAAGGGTACCACCAAGAAAAAGAAGCCCACTAAATGGGATGAAGTATTTGCAAATCATGTAACTGGAAAAGGAGTTATATCTCAAACATACTGTATAAAGAACCATTACAAACACAATAAAAAGACAAACCAATGTAAAAATGAGTAGAGGCAAAAGGGTGGAACTCAGTGGTAGAGTACCTGACTACAATGTACAAAGACCATTTGATCAGTAGAATTGCTAAAAGAGAAAAAAATTGTATGTGGAGTGTGTGTGTGTAAAGGACTGAAACAAACATTCCTCTAGCAAACATTTCTCTAAAGAAGATAATTAAATGACTGAAATACATAAAAAGAACTCCAACATCATTAGTCATAAGGGGAAAAAAACCAAAATTGTGAGATACTACCACATACTTAACACAATAGCTACAATTTAAAAAAATGTTAGAAAGGATGAAAAACACTGGAACCCCTTATATAATGCTGATGAGATTATAATTTAGCACAGTCATTTTGGCATATACCAAGAGAAATAAAAACATACATATCCACACAAAACTTTGTCCAGTAGTATTCTCAGCAGCAACTATTACTCATAAGAAACAAAAAAGACACAACCCCAGTGTCCATCAACTGAGAACAGATAAATGTGCTGTAATCTTTTTTAAAACAGCTTTAGTGCTGGAGTTTATGGTCAGCCAAGGCAGTGAGATCCTGCCTTGAAAGGAGGAGGGAGAATGGGAAAGGAAGAGGAAGAGGTAGGAGAGGGAGAAGAGGAGGAGGAGAAAGTATCTGTGGTGTAATCTTAAATGCAATTATTATCCAGCAATAAAAAAGAAATGAAGCACTAATACAGGCGACAATGTGGATGACCCTTAAAACATTATGCTGAATGAAAGATGCCAGTCACAAAACAGCTCAGGTTGTATAATTCCATTTTATATCAAATACCCAGAATACACAAACTTACAGACAAAGTAAATTAGTGGTTAATGTAGGCAGTGCAGGGTACAAGGGTTGAGGGGGTAAGATGACAGAAAGTAGCATATGAAGATGGACTACTAATACGCAGGGATTTTATTTTAAAGAAGAGTAAAAATGTCCTAATAACACAGTAATGGTCATAAAATTCTGTAAACATGGTGAAAAGAATACTTAGTTGTATACACCAATGGTTGTAAACTAAACGATATATACCTCAAAGAGTTATTTAAAAAACATAAAAGGAAAAATCTGTTATCACTTCAAATCATCTTTGAATGTCCCTTGTATAGATCTGCTTCCAAGAAAAGTCAGAAATGTACATATTTGGATTTAAGCAATCTGTAGGTGTGGTCTCTTTTATAAGTGACCACTACATTCACAGTGAAAATAATATAATGTAATTATTGTAAAAATAGGCTAAGGTTGTAATGGTCCAAAGTTTACACAAAGCACTAATCTAAGAATATATTCTCATATACAAAATTCATCATAATTCAGTGACAGGAACAACAAATTTAAAAAGCAACCTTCCATCTTCTATTTTTTACATACTATATTGCGCCCTATATAAAACACAAAATTTCTAGTCATTATTCCATAGAGGGCCATAATAAAAATGCAGTTTTTAAACCCCCCCCAAAATATTTTTCCTTCAGTACTATAATACTAACATCATCTTATTATGCTTATAAGTATATTTTCACATACACTTGCTCTATCAGAAAAGAAAAGAAAAACTGAACAACTCTAGCAAAACGCATGTATCAATCACTCAAAAGTGCTACAGAAATTCAAAATGGGTACTCTGA